TAATAGAGATTTTGGTCAACCAAAAAAAGGAACTACGCCGGAGTTTATAGGTAGGATCAGGGACGTCAGGGTTTGAGTTGTTTTGCTGAGAGGTTTCCAACTAGGGGTACTGTTGATGATATAGATCCTGCATCACCTTAAGGACCGTAATCTATGGGATCTATGGTATATTCCTTATTATGGGTAGTGGTGGATTCATATCATCAGCCGTATGAACCCTACAGCAGACCCTCAACCCCAAGTCTCATAAGGGTTTCCGGAAATGAGGGGACCCTAATATAGTACCCTAACTAGGAGGATCCTTATAATAAGGACCCCCTTGTAAGGTACCCCTAGTTTTCGGAAACTCCCTCATGAGCCTTTCAGTAAACCCCCTTTGGCTTACAAAGGGAACCCTAGATGGTGCCCTTGAAGGTGCCTCAAAGGAACACTGTTATATTAACAACAAAAAAGGACACTGCGTGCTCGGGCTGTTTGACCCTACACCAGGCAGGGCAGGGCAGGCAGAGGGCAGGGCAGCCCCAAACGACAGTGGGGTGGCGTGCGGGCATAGTAGGGTTTAGGGATCTACTGTTTACTCTGTAGATCGAGGCAAAGCTCTGCTTTGGTTCAACTTATGTGGGAGTATGCTTCGTCTTGCTCAAGCTTTTTCCTCGTTGATTTTCCGTGGTAGCTTGTTGCCACCGCATATGTACATGTGGCTCTACTTCAGAATGTTTAGGGGGCTTAGGGTCAGGATTCGGCTTTGGGGGTGTCAGGGTTTGTTTTTCTTGGCTGCAGGTTCGCAACTCTGCGTCTGGGCCCTACAGCAGCCCCTCAAACCCGAAACCTTAAAACCTAACAGGTCCAATGCGCTTGGCCCCAAACCCGACACCCTAAACCCTAAACCCTAGAAGTTCGAATGCACTTGAACAAAAAGCTGAGCCCTAAGCCGGAAACTCCAAAGCCTACACCATCGGTAGAAGCCTGTAATACTCACCTACAGCTGTACCCCAACAAGCCTCTAGGAATGCCTTTAACAAAGGATCCTAAGCACCCACATCGGGCGAATGCTTGCGCACATCAAGTAGTAAGTCCATGTATTTCCTCATCGATACCTCCCTTGTACTGCAACTGATGGTAGAAATCCTGCCTTACCCGAAAGTGAAGTTTGGGAATTATGGTAACATGGGCGGCCGAAACCGTTAGCAATATTGCAACATGGGCAGTCGGAGCCATTAGCAATATTGTCCCGATTGTCCCGTAGGCTCTTTGATGATACATTAATGAGGCCTCTATTGTATATTCAATCCGTCAGCAGGATCTCTACTCCCACTGTTCAAAGGCACATGGAACTTAGTAAGTAAGATTATAAGTAGAATGACCCTACTTAGGCCAGTTGTAACCCCCAACTATAACTCTACCGGCCAACTAAATCTCATGAGCCATTCAGTAAGCCCCCTTTGGTTTGCACAAGGAACCCTTGGATGCACCCTTAGAGCCGTAGAGGAAGCCTTTTATAGTAACCCAGACCTTTTGGGTTCCTAGCAGGATCTGTCGTCTCATGGACCAGTTTACAATTCAGTTTGAGTAAAACAGCTGTAGGTCTTAAGGGTCTGGGGCTTGGGGTTCGTAGACCTGTATAAGCCATGAACCCAGAAAGCACAATTTGTTCAGCAGGTTTCCGAAGTTCCGCTTCCGAAGTTCACGGATTCGAAGTAGTTCCCGTCAAGCCCTGGCAATTACAAGTCTCCATTACCCTAAACCCTAAACCCTAAACCCAAACTCTATACAGGCATGAACACGGCTTCGGGTGTACTTAGTATGCAGAGATCTTCACGGCGGGAGGTGTGGTTCAGGAGTTGAGGACGAAGCCTACTAAAGGGGCCTACATAATTACCTGAGGGTTCCTTTTGGAGTTCCTTTTAAAGGTGTCTAAAAGGATTATGAGGGTTCCTTATCATAACTACAGTATAATGGGCCCCAAATCCCTATAATAAGTATTAAGGCGCCTATATGAAGCTTTGACTTTTTGAACCCTAAACCCACTTTCACCGTCAAGCCCTGAAGCTTAAAACTGGCAGGAGATCTCATACCTTGAACTGCTGCTGAGCTCATTTCAAGCCAAATGGTTTCTTCACCACAGTTCACCGGTCCCTGCCACTCTTGGGCTTGGGGGCGACGATGAAGCAGCATGGAGAGATTCATGGGACGTTGTTTGGGGCTTACGGGTGACACGGTTTGGTAGGTCTGGCTTGCAGGGTCTAGAGTCTGCCATTTTAGGTGGTGTGCAGGATTTGGGGTTTTGAGGGTTGTGGCATTGGGCTTGAAATTAGTTAGGATCTTTTCTAGGCATCCATTTTGTGGTAAATTCCTTTTTTGCGAATCTCCTACACGGTTGATATAGAACCCCAAACGGCCCTAACCCCTCCTAAACCCCACGAAACCCTCAAACCCCTTCTAACCCCTCCTATATAGACCCTGCTACGCCCCGCTACATCCTTGATAAGGTGCCAAGCCCCCCGTCCCCTAAACCGCCTTAGCCAGTCCTAAACGCCCGGACACGTCCAAGCCTTCAACTGTTCTAAGCCCGCTTAGACCCCTGATGAAATGCAACCCCCTAAATGCACTTATCTGTATTGCTACTGTACTGTCGTACTACTACTGTACCAATGTACTACGACGAAGGGTCACGTAACGGGGGAGGGGGGTGTGAGCCTGAACTAAACCTTAAATGCATGAATCCAGTGGGGTAGGTAACTTTCCCTAGGGATCTAAGGACTCATATATAAAGGCTTTTGGGCCCAAAAAGGGGTAGGTGGCCTTTACCATCCTTTACCACTTGGATTTTCTGAGTTTACGGCTTAGGGAGTATTGCAGGAAGCGAGCTGGCAACGTATAACCGCTACCTTGCTTATATAACCCTACCATATGTTCCCAGGTTAGGTAGTCGTGTTGAAAGAGTTTGGGTTCCGCCTTGAGCAGTTTAGTGTTTATAGCCGGGATAAACTTCCCTTGGACCTTCAACCACCAGGATTAGATTCCTCAGGTTCCCTAGGAAATCTTCCTATCATATGTACAACATCAAACCCTCGCATGTAAGGTAGAATTCTTTCGATTCTGTTTCGGGCGTGGGGGCCTCTTGGGTCTGCAGGGCTTCAGGAGTGGGCCTCAGGTTTAGCAAGTTTAGCGTTGTTGATGAGGGTTCAGGGCTTTACGTTTAGGGTATTCAGGGTTTAGGGTTCATAGAGGTTCCGTTTTGTGAGAGGTTTCTGATTCGCCCATCAATGCCCAAGGAGTAGATGCATGGAAAGCTTGCGACGATGGCAGCCAGGCGGTTGAGGGTGCTAGTCGCGAAACCCTAAATCCCAGAACCCTAAAGCCTTATACCGTATACCATAAGACACTAAAGCCCTAAACCCAAACTCCGAAACCTTTCAAGACTCAAAGGGCTCCTTTTTTGTGATTGGTGGGGGGTGCAGTGAGCTTCGATGGGGGGATACACTCTGCAGGGTGTAGGCGGTTTAGGGCAACAAAGGGGCCGAAATAATGAGAAGGACTAGCACTGGACGGCCCCTCAATGAGACGTAACTCTCTGGCACCATCTAAGCCCTAAATCCTACGCCCTCAACCTTCAACCCTAAACAATAAGCTCTAAATTCAAAGCCTTGAGGCCAAAGATTGGGTTCTTGTTCTGGGGGTTCGTGTTTCCAGCTCTGGAGTCTGGACTTACGGGTACTTAGAAATACTTGTTAGTTTTTGGTTATTATAATCCCCAAGAAACAGCTAAAATTATGATTTTTGCTAGGGTTCTAAGTATAGTGGAGATTGGGACAAGTCCACGGCAAGTCCAGTGCAACAGCTGCAGGGGATGTAGGGACAGTGTGTACTGCCTAGTGAAGACCATCTGGTTTAGGGTTTGGGGTGGCGCAACTACTATTGGTATCCCGTTATAGTGCCGATTATGACAATATTCCAACAATTTAAGACATTCAGGGCCCTATTCTGGTCGTCCGATAAACCTTCAACCACTATGTCACTAGTAAGTCGAAGTCCTTCATGCAAGGAGCCCATGTGCTCAGGCCACAGAGTAAATCCTCATCAAGCCCTGTAGAACAAGCATATTCTGCCCGTATTTCGAAATCAGCACGTAATTCAAAGCAGTTGGCAAATCTTTACACCCTCAGCCATTGAAATATCTATGTATATTTAGATATACTAAGGGCCTGTCGCAGATCCTGAAGCCCAGCACCCATGAGTCCCCAAACCTTACACCCTAAACCTAGAATTAAAGTGGATATAGTCCTTGTCGAAACTTGTAAGCCTCCGTTGCAAATCCTTAAACCTCAAAACGTGAACCAATAGAAACCCCTAAGTCCACAGTCAGAGTCCCTCTACCCCTCTACCCCTAGCTTACTTGGAGGATCATAGGACTTAGTAAGTAAGGTTATAAGTACCTTCGTTGAGGTTCTAAGTAATTGTAAGTATAGTTACCGTACGTATAAACCTAGTTACTAAGTCTCATGATCCTTTAATGCATCGGGAATCCAGCACTAACTGGCTTTACTACCCTAAACCCTAAACCCCTAACCCTAAACCCTAAACTCCTAAACCCGAAACCCCTAAACCCTAAACTTCTGACCTACTGCGACGATCAGCGGCTCAAGCCCTGCACTGCTGTATTTAGTATTGCGCTTTACGGGTAATTTTGGGTGCTTTTGCAGGGATTTATAGAGATACGGTTGATGATACAAATCCTGCATTACACATAATAAGGAATATGTGGGAATTATGGTGTATTCATTATTATGTGTCATGCAGGGTTGATATCATCAACAGTATGTAGGGATTACCAGGATTTCATGGGGGGGTTATAGAGCTGCTTAGACTTGTAAATGGCACGGCTTGTAGGAGAATGTTGGCTGGTTTCTCACTTTCTCATTCTTGCGACATCTTGGAGCCTTTTGAACCGTTCGTGGTCTCGGCCTCATTAGGGTTAGGGCTAGGGTTCACTGTCTGGCATGATTGATGGGATTCCAACGACACTGAAAGTGCGATCGGCGCAGCCGGAAGAGCCAGCTCAGGACGCACCCGCCGCGAAGCTCGATATGGGAGTTTCCGAAAAGTACGCACTAAACCCGAACTAAACCCCGAAAGCTCCAGACCTCAACAGTGAATATGAAAGAAAGCCCTAAACCTGAGACGCGAGACTTTAAACTTTGAAACCCTAAACCTGAGACGCTAAATCCTAAACCCTTAAGGCCCTAGACCCCTAACCGTACAAAGCCAAAATCCAGGGCGTGGGCTCGGGGTTCATAGGGTTGAAATAAATCGTACAATACCAGGAATATACCATAATCTCCATAGTCTGGGGTCAGTATAAGGTAATGCAGGATTTGTATCATCAACCCTAAAACCCTATAGATCCCTTAAAGGGGCCCCTTACAGGTTCCCTTATAGATCCGTGTAAAGGCACCCTAGGATTTACATCATCGACCGTAGTGTCCTGCAGGAAGAACCCCTTAGAAAGGAAGAACTGAGCCCCTAAACCCCTAAATCCTCATAAACCCTAAACCACCTAAATCCCAAACCATAAACCCTATAATTCTAAATCGACCTAGTCATTTTGGTGATGTCTCTTTGTCATCTCTTTACTAGCATCTTATTCCTACACTATCATGCCCAAAGGCCTTGAAACCTCCAAAGTAACCCTTTGGATAATCCTCCAAAGCAGTCCAAAACTACCAGGACCCTCCTTGTACCCTCAAATAGGGGTATATGGTCCCTAAAAACAATTAGGTATTTTGGGTTTAATAGAGGGTAGAAGGAGGGTCGGTTTAGGGTTTAGGGTTAGGGTTATCCCCCTCAACAGTAGTCCCAAACTAAACCCTAGGCGACTCCCACCGGTTTGGACTTCGCAGACGATCTCCTGAGCGTTCACACTGACTGGGGCGAGTCAAAGTTACCAGGCTTTGGGTTTGAGGGTTTAGGGTTTAGGGGTTTAGGGTTTAGGGTTTAGGGGTTTAGGGTTTAGGGTTTAGGGTGTAAGGGATGTATAGGGGTTCCTCCTAGTAGTAGAGTAGGTAACCTTTAACCTCTTTTGGGTAGTATAGTCCCTATATAATCCCTATATAACCAAAAAGGTTAACCTTTAGTTCCCCATGATACCCGACATACGTGGGCCCTTTACAGGGATCCATCAGGGTTTTATTACCAGGCTTCAGGATTTAAGGGTTTAGGGTGGTAGGGGTTGGGGTTGAGGGTCTAGGGTCTAGGTTTCAGGGCAGGTAAGGTCGCCCTGACAAGGTTTACAGGCTCTAGGATTTTTTGAATTTTCTTAGGGCTCTTAGGGGCAAAGACCAGACCATACAAGGCTGTTGGGCTATTTTGATCCCTAGGGTTTGCTGTTTGGCGATTGAGTGTTTGGGTCTTGCTTTAAGTTTGGGGTGTGACGACTCAGCCTTGATTGGGGTTTAGGACCCGCAATGTACGTCGTAGTAGTGTCCTGAACCCAGTTCACGAAACTCTGAACCCTTCATCCTAAACCCGAACCTCGAATGCCTTAACCCTCAACCGTGCTGTAGGTCCAACGTCTAGTTTGCGGGCCTGCCCATAGTTTAAGGGTCCTATCCCTTTCGGAAGTCGGGATTAGGATTGGGGTTTCGGCTTGGGCTTAGCATTTACGGACAACTTGTGATCTACAGCGTCGTACAGAGGTGTGCATGTGTTAGTCTATCTCTATCTGCCTCTCTGTCTTTTTGTTGGTGTGTACGTTTTGGCTGTGTGCGGTTTCTCTTCGGGGTTCCTCGAAACCTAGGACCTGAAAGCCATCAGCACCTCGTCAGTAGCCCTAAACCCTTTCAATCCTCAAACATCAACCTTAATAATCCTTGGTTAGTGACCCACAAAGCTCAACTCTACAGTCAATAGCTTTGAGCAAATCCAAGGCCCAATCCATGCCTAGAAATCGACGCCTTCGTGGAGATCATCACACAGTTTGAGGCGACACGTCCAGGGGTTGTGAGATCGATCCCCATCTTCGTCATCCTGCAACACTCCCTGTTCTACGCCCGCAACTGGGTTCTTGTTAAGGGATTTTGTCGAAGGTACCTAATAAGGAAACCATACTATATATTATGGATCCCTATTATGGTAACTTACATTAAGCCCTAAACGCGTAAAGGAACCCTTATAGTAGATCCCTTCACAAGAACCCAGGCAAAGGACGCCTGCAGGAGCTGTGGTATAGCTCAAGCGAGGAGGCAAAGGTTATCGATGAGTTCTGGTCTCACAGCTGGCAGGCTCCAGCTTGGCAGAAGTATCTGGGTTCTTGTTAAGGGACTTAATTTTAGTTAAGGGTTCCTTGAAGGGATCTTTAAGGAAGGGTATGTAGGGTTTAAGTTTAAGGTTTAAGTTACCATGAAAGGGATCTATAGTCAAATAACATGGTTTCCTCACTATGGTATCTTAAACCAAAACCCTTGACAAGAGCCCAGGTATGTCAACCTCCTCTTTTTGAACAACACCTGGCCGGCAAGCGTGGTAGGCACCCTCGCCGCGGTTACCTCATTTGTCCTCTTCTTGACGGGAGTTTTGCCTGAATGGGCGGAGACGGGCCGGACCTGCAGATGGTGTATCCTCCTGGGCACGCTGGCCTACTACCCGACTTTCTTGCTTCTTTACTGCATGCAGCTTCTACAAGGCCCCAAACCCCAGAGGGTTCATATACTACCACCAATATGGAATTCCATAATGGTAGTAATTACTTATGGACCCTCTGAGAATCCGAGCCCTAAGCCACCCCAATTCCGAAGGATTCCCGTAGAGTTTCTCTGGCATTTTGCAACAAGCCTGAAGCTACATTCGAGACCTACCTGAAGCTAGTTATAACTTCCGCTTGGGTTTCCTGACAACATCTTTGTGGAGGGGGATTCAAGTACACTGTAAGCCCCAAATTCCAAACCCTAGGGATCAACATAGCCCAACAGCCTTCTATAGCATGGTCTTTGGGCCCAAAAGCCTTAATATATGAGTCCTTAGATCCCTAGGGAAATAGCCCACAAGCGTCCACAGCCTTAAACTCTAAACCCCGAAATCCTTCAGCCCTCAATCAGGGCTCAAGGGACTTAGTAAGTAGGTATATAGTTGAGGTTGTAAGTCCCCAAAGTAGGGTTATCCTAATTATAACCTTACTTATAGCCTTACTAAGTCCATCAGCCTTTAAGTAGCCTAAACTAGGGATATACACCCCTCCCCCCCTTCCATCACCCCCAAAGTCAGGCTTTTCCGGCCGAGCACACGGGTTTTCTTTGATGCTGCATGCATCAACCAAAGAGACATGGATCTGAAGTTCGAAGGCATCACGCTTTGGGTCCGTGGTAGCTACCAAAAAGCATTAATTAGGATGTTGGGTGCTCGGATTTGGGGCTTAGGGTTTCCATAAACCTGCCCTAAACATCCCTAAACCCTAAAACCCTTAGGGAGGTGACGATACCTCTGATTGGGAGCTGATGAGGGTGCCCTCGACTCTCCCTTAAGCCCCTGGGTTTCCGGGGTTCTGTGCTTCATCCGGTTGAGGCCCCTACTTGGAGGGTCGGAGGATTTAGAAATAGAAGTAGTAATGGGTGGAGTTACAAGTGCTTTAAAGCTTTTACAGCAAACCCTATAAATTTGGAAACTGGATTAAGGCCAAAAAGTTCTGAGATTCCCTGTAAATTGCTCTTAAGGATCGAGGCTATTGGGTTTCCAACTTTTGGGCTTCTACTGTAATTGGGATCCAATAAAACATCCAATCGAACCCCTTAGCTGAATGAAGAAACCCGCTTTTGGATGTACTCTTCCTAATTCTGCAGGGCGTGAACGGGTTGCACCCTAAACCTCAAACCCACTGTGCTGACAAATCCTGGACTCGGGCTGATTCTATGTTTCACACGACTGCCAGCCTTTTAGCTTTCAACCTACTCTATGCCTCGAAACCCCACCTACACCCTCAAGAACCTACTATCTTGAGGACTTGTACGAGGACATCACAATGAGGAGCCCTCATGAGGTAGGTTATTTAGGGTCCACCTTAACCTACCAAAACCTACAAAAAACATAGGGTCCCTACAAATTCCATATTAGGTTTGATAATAAGAGCCTACAAAAAAGGTAGGGTTTGGTAGGTTAAGGTAGGTAAGACCTTACTTGGAGGGTCGTGGGACTTAGTAAGTAGGTAGTAAGTAGACTTATAAGTACCCTAAAAGGGACCCTAATTGGGGTTATGGTACTTATAAGTCCTTAAAATAACCAGTTACTAAGTCCCCCGACCCTCCAAGTAACCCCTTTGAGAAGGTCTGGTCAGCATGGGTGCAATCTTGAAGCGCTCCAAATCCATGCTGGTGCTCTGGGACCCTTCTTACGTTACGCGACTGCGACTTGTCACGAATCGGGCTTAGGGTCGAGGCTCCAGTTATAGCGGTTTGGTACGGCCCCCATACAGTAAGAGTCTATAATCGGGCTACTACCAAGGTCCTACTATATCTATATGATGAATATTATTCAACTATTCCTGCGTGGGGGCCGTACCTAATATGGCGGTTTGAATGATTGTCAGTGGCGTCACCCTGTCGCCTTACTATGTCCTACAGCCCGAAGCCCTTTTCCAATCATTGAGGCCCTTACGTTGGGCTTTATGTCCTGACTTTTGTACGGGAATACCTTGGATTTGTAGATTTATAGGGGTCAGGTAGCAGTAGATGAGACAATGTACATACACATATGTTCATATACAAAAGTGTGTGTGTGTGTATATATATATATACATATCCAGTATATACATATACATACTGCACATGATATGAAACCTGAACCCTAAATCTTAGGCAGTGCAGCTTCGGCTGAACCACTACTGCACCTACAATCATCATCATCATCGTCATCATCATCATCAAGATCATCATCATCTTCCCGTAGAAGCCCGATAAAAGTTGAAAACCCAATAGCCTCAATCCTTAAGAGTAATGTGTAGGGAATCCGCGCACTAATTGTCCTGAATCCGGTTTCTAACATTTTGGGGTTCATCTTAGGAAGTGGTGTTTTTTTTTTGCTGTGGCCCCGCCGGGTCTTTTTAGACCCGATGTAGTACACCAGACATTTTTTGTTATTGGCTCGCCGAGTTCGGCGGGGGCCGCAGCAAAAAAAGAAACACCACTCCGGCGGAGGAGAAAGCATCGCTGCCCAGGCCCGCGCCCCGAAAAGGTCGCCCCGGCCCACAGTGAGTGAGTGAGCGTCCGGGCGGGGCCGCAGCAAAAAAAAAAACACCACCCAGACCCTGCCCCGGAAGGGTCGCCCCGGCCCACAGTGAGTGAGTGAGCTTCCGGGCGGGGCCGCAGAAAAAAAAAAAACACCCCGACGGCGAGCGGGGCCGCAGCAAAAAAAAAAACACCACTCCGGCGGAGGAGAAAGCATCGCTGCCCAGGGGGTGTTTTTCTTTTTTGCTGCGGCCCCGCTCGGAAGCTCACTCACTCACTGTGGGCCGGGGCGACCCTTCCGGGGCAGGGTCTGGGTGGTGTTTTTTTTTTTGCTCTGGCCCCGCTCTTTCCCCTGCCTGTCGGCGGGGCCGGAGCAAAAACAAAAACACCTTGCACGCCCTGGGACCGCAGCAAAAAATTTTTTAGAAACCATTGACACGGGGCCCGAGCAAAAAGGGGCCACAACAAAAAAAAAAACACCCTGACCTTCATCTTAGGTGGATCATCATCAAACCCTAACCCCGAAACGCTTAAACCCCAAACCCCTAAACCCTAAACCCCTAAGCCCTAAACACAAATCCTAGGTGGTGCGTCTTTGAGATGGCTGCTTTCCTGAATGCGCATGGCTCGGCGGCTGTGAAGGTGTGCCCTCCGTTGTTAGGCCTCTTGCCTGATTTGGCTTTAGGAGTTTTCGGGTTTTAGTTTAGGGGCTTTGGGGTATTAGGGAGTTTAGGGTTCCGGTTTTGAGGGTTTACTAGTTCAGTAAAACAAGACTTGGGGCATAGTTCATGGCTTGAGTGCCCTTCTTCTTTGGCAGTCTTGCCCGCCCTTGTTTTGTGATGCGACGCCCTCCTCCCTGACTGGGGCGTTTTGCCTGGTTAGCGCGTCCCCCAACACCCTAAACCCCAAACCGTGTTTGGGTTAAGGGCCCTCCTTGTCGGGCTGTTCCCCTGCGTTGCGTTTTCGGGTTCGACGCCACCCAGACCTTCCAAGATCCCTTAGTTAAGGAATGTACCTTAAATAACAGTAGGATCCCTAATATGATTTAAGGTATATTCGTTAATTAAGGGATTTTGGAGGGTCTGGGCAGGACGAAGTTCGACTATTCTTGCAGTTCAGGGTTCGCACGCCCTTCGTCGCTGCGGAGCTTAGGATTGTGTGGAAAGGATGATTTTTCGGGGGTTTAGGGTTGAATTAGGGTTTAGTTAGGGTTTAGTTAGTGCTTAATTCGGGTTTAATTAGGATGTAATTTGGGTTTCTCTCTGTGTTCTGACAGGAACTGTGCTGATGATCTGCCACTTTGTCCTGTGCGTCATTACCTTTATCAGCCACTGGCTGCTGCAGCAACTAGGTCTTCCAGAGGTCGCACATGTTTCGTTTCTTTGTTGTTCCTAAACCCTAAACCCAACCACTAAATCCAAACCCAAAGCCCCTAAACCCTAAACCCAACCTCTAAATCCAAACCCCAAAACCGAAAGCCCTAAACCAGTAGGCAAGACTCCTGGTCTTGGGCTTACCTGGCCACTTTGCCTGCGCTGTGGCTGCCCACTTTCACTTTCATGGCCTATGCAGTGCGATCCTGGGTCGATTGCATTATGGTGTTAGGGTCTAGCACTTGCGGTTATGGTTTAGGGTTGGGTGTTAGGGTGTAGCGCTTAGGGTTTAGGGTTTACATGCGGGCATTCTGGAAGGGAGGGATTTTTGCGGTAGTGTTGGCGAGCTGCCGTCAACAGTTTAGGGCTTGACACGCTGTGCCATTGCAGCAAGCCCGAGCCCAGCAAAACCATCTCGCCTGAACCGCATTCTCCGAATTTATGTCCGGAGCCTCAGGAAATAAAGGCGCCACATATCCATCCCTATTATTGCAGTTGGATGTCTCATTCTCTTTGTTCCTGCAAGTTTAGCTATGGCTTTAGTGTACTGAGACAGCCTAAAAGCGATCGCCGAAGCGAGAGCAAGACGAAGGATCCTATTGCCGCAGCATTGACACCATGGACCGTCAACTGAGGGACTTCTCCATCAAGCAGCTGGTGCCGGAGTACCCTTTTGGTTGGGGCTTCGGGCTTTAGGGTGTTTAGGGGTTTAGATCCTGAAACCTAAACCCAGACCGTTGCGGTATCCCTTATAGAACCCGTTGGACTTTGTAGTAACCCTGATATAGGAACCCTGGGGTAACAGAATTACGTTGTTCTTTTGACCTTTTCCGTGAAGGAACCATGACGAAGCATTTTTGACTGCTTTTGCAGGAGCTGTTCCTTGCAGGAACATAGAGGGACCATGATGAACCATAATTTCGTGTTTGTTTGACATGTTCCCTACCGGAACATAAAAGAATCATGATGAAAGAAACAGAAATTTGCTTCTCTCACTGGCTACTTCAAAGCCCAGGCAGACGACAAGCTCCTGCTGCGAAGGTGGCCACAAAGACGACGACTTCTGCGACTTGGATGTGCGTGTGTGGACAAACCCTCCAGCATCTGTTAGAGTTTAAGCTACTTGGAGGATCATGGGACTTAGTAAGTGAGGATATAAGTACCTTGAGTGGGGTTATAAGTATAGTTACCCTAATTATAACCCCAGTTACTAAGTCCCATGATCCTTTAAGTACAGGGTTTAGGGGTCTGATGGTGAGAAAGATCTCATCAG